GTGTGTGTGTGTGTGTGTGTGTGTGTGTGTGTGTGTGTGTGTGTGTGCGTGCGTGTGTGTGTGTGTGTGATTTTTTTTTTAGCGACATGGGTTGGAGGAGGATATATAAATGGCACAGCTGAGTATGTGTATCTGCCTGATTATGGCTTGGCTTGGGCTCAAGCTCCCTTTGGATATGCCCTCAGTCTTGTTGTGGGTGAGTGGATTAAAACAATAAAATACAGATTGATATTGTGTGTGATCCGGAGCAATAACGTAGGGATTCTGTGTCCTTGTTTCTACCTATTAACAGTGAAATGCAGCCCACACATTCATATTTTTGACTTTTTGACCACATACCTTGAAATGGATGGTTTGGGTGCTAATCAAACCATGTCCAGTGGTCCTGTGTTCAATTCTATATTTAAATTCCTTGTTAAGTCTTAAACCTGTTGGTTCAAGTATCAGTCTATTTGAACAAGTAAAAAAATGTAAAACTGCAGATTTAAACCATGCTTGTTTATATAGAGGTACATTTGAAGGTGTCACAATTCAATGTGTCTACTCTTTGTCCCAGGGGGTCTTTTTTTTGCTAAACCCATGCGCTCACGAGGTTACGTCACCATGTTGGACCCGTTCCAGCAGATATATGGGAAACGCATGGGTGGCCTCCTCTTCATACCTGCACTCATGGGAGAGATCTTCTGGTCCGCGGCCATCTTATCCGCCCTTGGTGAGTTCATGTTCCCATCTACAATGAAACAAGTTATTCTGGTGGCCAATACGATCAAAGTGAGGTCTTCTCCATATATATCTGTATGCCATAACATTTGCTCGTGACCTTAGGTGCTACTCTGAGTGTCATCGTGGACATCAACATTAAGATGTCAGTGGTTATCTCAGCGCTCATTGCAATCTTTTACACCCTGGTTGGAGGACTTTACTCTGTGGCCTACACTGATGTCGTGCAGCTCTTCTGTATCTTTATTGGCCTGGTAGGTTCATGTTGAGCACAAGTTAAAGATAGATGATAGCAACTAGTGTAATTAAATAACCCTCTTTAGTAGATTTACTGTGTTTGTCACACCAAACATACTTTGACCTTGACTTAAAATATGACAAATTACGCACATGAATAGTCACAGATGCTGCTCCAAAGGAACACACTGACATGAAATGTTACTGCAAAGATTTATTTGTGACACATTGTCTAAAAATGATAAGAAAAGCTAAGGTGGGATAATAAATTGCTGAAGTTATAATAACCATTAAACCTATTTTTTTTTTTTGTATCTGTTTTAACTTGTTTCTGGACGTCTACAGTGGATCAGTGTCCCGTTTGCTTTGACCAACCCTGCGGTGTCGGACATTACCGTTACTGCAGTGAAGCAGGTGTACCAGTCGCCCTGGAGAGGCAGCATACAGAAGGGCGACACCTGGGTCTGGATCGACAACTTCTGCCTCCTGGTACAGTCCCCACGCCTTATCCATCCCTCACCTCATCAGAATTTAGTCCACTGTGACCAGCACTGGGTCTAAAGGTCTACAACTGATTTCATTGATGAAAAAATATCAGCATGCCAGGACTATTTGATGACTTTATGAAGTGAAAATACTACAGCTTGTTATCAAATAATTTAGTGAAGGAGTTTCATACACTCTCATTACACCTTTCTGCAGAACTGTCCTTATGGTCCTTATTCAAATCAAGGCACTAAGGATAGAGGATGTCTTATGCTGTACAGATTATAAAGCCTTTTGAGGCAAAGTGAATGCAATTGTCATAACTGTGTCAGGCTTTAGTTCTGCGAATGTTATTCACTGGTCTCTAAATGTGCTGCAGATGCTTGGAGGAATACCCTGGCAAGTGTATTTCCAGAGAGTACTGTCTGCCTCCTCGGCCAACTACGCCCAGGTCCTCTCCTTCCTGGCTGCTTTCGGGTGCCTCGTCATGGCTGTGCCCTCCGTTCTCATCGGGGCCATCGGGGCCTCCACAGGTTAGAGAGCTCACACATGAGCCTGCAATTGCACAGTCTGTGTGTGTGTTTGTTTTCAGGGGAAAGGCTCTGGATGGGTCCATGTTGCCCTTAGATCTGAGAGAGCCTGGTAAATAGCAGCTGGTTCACCTCATCCATAATGAAGCAGCAATCCAGTTAATAACCATGCTGGCTGTGTAAATATTACATTAGAGGGAGGCAAGGGACCAAATTAGAGGTTTGATCTCCAGATTTTTAGGCGTCAGATTCCTTGGTGAACATCTGAACACACAACTTTGTTTTGTCTTGTTTTAACATGGAAATAACAAACATGAGCTGCCACTGCAAATGTTTAATGAGAAGATGGTTTTAAAACTTCTGCAGACAGTAATATTTTATTTGTTAAGCTTATTCCCATCATCAGCAGTTTCAGTCTCTGTTTTAATGAGCCTAAAATTGTGGAAAACAAATGTTGCAATGCTATCATATTTCATTTTGTTGTGATCATGCATGTTTTGTTCCAGCTTTGACATTTTCATACTGTATAGTGAGTAAGCTATGCCATACAGTTTCAGTATTATGAATGTTTAATTGCAAATTACCTTCATTTCTGAGGAATTTGGAAAAGTTGTGTTTCTCTGGAGGCCATGAGGTTATTTATAAAACAAATTGTGATACAGTTCAAGTATACTGGCCATATTGGTTGTGTCATTCATTCTCTCCCTTACTCAGACTGGAACCAGACAAGTTATGGTGCTATTCCTCCTAAAGAGAAGGACCAAGCGGACATGATACTCCCCATCGTGCTCCAACACCTTTGCCCGCCGTTCGTCTCTTTCTTCGGCCTGGGTGCAGTGTCTGCAGCTGTCATGTCGTCTGCAGACTCCTCCATCCTGTCAGCCAGCTCCATGTTTGCGAGGAACATCTACCAGCTCGCCTTTAGACAGTCGGTGTGTACAAAGTTTATACAACATCCATATTTTTTTTCCTGCTTGTTTGTGGCTGCTTGGCACACGTCACAATCCTGTCCCCCGCTCGTCTCTGTCTCCTCAGGCGTCTGACCGTGAGATCGTGTGGGTGATGCGTATTACCATCTTTGTATTCGGCGGCCTTGCCACGTTGATGGCGCTGGTGACTGGGACAGTTTACGGCCTCTGGTACCTGAGCTCAGACCTGGTTTACGTCATCATCTTCCCCCAGCTGATCAGCGTGCTCTTTGTCAAAGGCACCAACACGTACGGCTCCGTGGCCGCCTACCTCTTCGGCATGGTGCTGCGTATAGGCGGAGGAGAACCCTACCTGCAGCTGCCTCCGTTCATTTATTACCCTGGCTGGACCACCGAGCAGAGGATACACCACATAACTGGGGAAATGGAGGAAGTTGTCATCCAGAAGTTCCCCTTCAAGACCATGTCCATGCTCGCCTCCTTCCTGGGTAACGTCGCTTTCTCCTACCTGGCAAAGTACCTGTTTGAGAGCGGCAGGATTTCACACAAATACGACTTCCTCGACGCAGTGGTGTCCAAGCACAGCGGAGAGATTATGGATAGGACGACGCTCGTGACTCGTGGCAACAACATCGGGCTGTCGGAGATGACGCCCGTCAAACCGCGGCTGAGCGTGACCTTGGCGGCCGCCTTCACACGCCGTGACACGCTGCCGAAGGAAACAGTGGAGGAGGAGGAGGAGTCCAGCTCTGAATCCTCCCACCATGATGAAGAATGACAAACTCAGGATGTGTTTAAAAAAACACGCTGAACATGCGAGGGAACTGTCAGAGAACTGGTTACTCTGTCAAATTCTCCAAGAAGAAGTACGAGACAAGAAGCAAACGTCCTCCGATGGGACTACAAAAGAACCACATCCAGCATGTGGTGATTGGATAACGGCCACATGACAGGATATATAGTGTAGCAGCTTGCTGATTGTCTGGACATGACGTTCTCTTTTCTGTGAAGTACATCAACCATTCACTCATATAGCTCTTATATATAGTTGGGTGTAATGCATACTCATCCTCTTCTGAACTGCTTTGGAGATATAGTTAAAGAAATAATTTGATTGATTTTGTTTTTTTATCACTAAAGAAAAAGCAGATCAAACTACAGCTGAGTGGAGATAAGAGATGCTGCACAGTTTCTACCGGGGAGAAGTGGTGAAATATTTGATGAACAGATGGCAGGTAGTTGACCTGTACAGCAACTATTATAAAAGCTGATTGTGAGAGAGAGTTGAAGTAAAAATAGATCAACAAATTATGGAAAACAGGATATTATATAACTTTAATATGTCACAACAAGCCAATCAATTTATGTTAAACGGACTGTAATGTCATGACGTGAAATACATCCGACATATTAACCAACACCCAAAACTGATTTAGTTTGACACAGTTTTGAGAGGCAATCATGTCTCTTCATTATTCCTGTAAACATATCATGACTGTGAATCAAGAAAGAAACAATCCATGTACTGTGCTGAGTAGAAAATATACAAGCAGTAGTGACCGTAGTTAGCTAATATTCTCTTTAATGTCAGGTGTAGAAGCAGTTTTAATCATAGGAATCGGTGTAAATTAGTGTTTAAAATGATCTTGTATTCAACTGCCTTAATGAAGCTCATGAAACAGTTGTGACTGGACTCTGGTCAGACTGCAGCGAACAAAGACTTGAATATGAATGTAACCTCTAGAAAAAGATCTAAGTATATCAAGTAGTGTACTTCTACTGGTGTTAGTGTTGTTTTAGTTTGTGATTTTGCAAAGTCAAACAGTAACTGTTGCAGAACAATGTGGCGGCAGGTTCTGCTTCACAAATCTGTTCTATTTATTTGTGGTTAACGGCAGATTATTTTCTCTGTGATGTGTATGTTTGTATGAATATAAATATAATTATAAAATATGGAGAGAAACAAATGATATATAAGAAAACAAATCATGCTGGTTCAAATGATTCACACAAGAAAGAAAGGATGCTGTCTAAATGTTTATTTATTTTTGATGTCATAAGAGATGAAACATAAAAAAAAAAGAAGAAATAATTTCAGGAAAATATATAAATTCTACTTTTGGAACAAGATAAAATTGGTATTTCACATTTGTTGTTTCTTGACTACTAAAAATACACTTTGAGAATATTGCAATTAGATTTTAGTATATGTGTTTTTTTTCTTTATTGGAGATGATGCTGAAACGTGGAGAATATCATGATCCACGAGGTTCAGCGACATACGATTTCTTAAAACAAAGCTATGTTGACTTGGGTTCAACCAAAGAGTGAGTCTCCACTGTCGGATTGTTGTATGTTAATAACTTTAGAGGCCTGAAGAGGTCAGATTTACTAGAAATTGAGGATCAGAAAAGTCATGGAAGTAACAGTTTTTGTATTGCAGAAATATATCTTTTTCAGCTATCCTGTTTTATTAATCTATTTGTGTTTATGATGCTTAATTGTGGTGTCTCAGACTTCACAGCTTCTGTCTGTTACTTTAAAATATAATTTAAAGAACATCCTCCCTCAGATAAAGGCTCAGGTTGAATTTGCAGCCGGTCCAGGCTCTTTCTTGTCTGTCGGGCCCCTCAGCTAGACGGAGAAAGAGAACATGTCCCAAAACGTGACTGAAATTACAATCGCTTGGCTAGCATCTTTGTCCCCCTTCATGGCCACAGTGAAAGACAGCATCTTAAAATAGCTCTCGCTCTCTGGTTATTTACATTACCTTAAGTGCTGTACTCTCTCTCATCTGGGACTCGGGGAGGAGCCACCCGGGGGTGGGTGTGGCTGCTGGTGGTCTGTTAGGGAAGATGGACTCCGGTGGGGGTTAGAGGGAGGCGTAGCTTACTGGCGCCCATCGCCATAAAATCCACCAACTCTGATGCGCAGGAATGACGCAGGAGCCCCACCCATCCACAGCACTTCCTCCCTCCATCGTCCTTTTTGACGTCCTTGAGAACCAAGGCCAATCACATAAAATAGAACAGAGGGTGGAGGGGAGAGAGAGAGAGAGTGTCCCATCTCCATTCATAGAAAGTGCCTCAGAAAGCACTCATGATAATTAACAATTATGAAGGAAAACTGACGCTTGTCCAAAAGTCAATCCATTTATTTAAGGCTTTGCGGGCGAGTAGGAGAGTGTTGGGGGATGGTTTTTTGCGTTCTTCTAGAGTCCATTTGGATGTGAACCAAAACAGATTTATTCATTACTACTGGATATCTTTAGAACCTCCTATGATGTCTTTGCAGGAGTCATTGATGTTATACCGGGCATATTTTTGTCCTGCTTTTGACATAATGTCCAATAGGCATTTGTTTTTCTTCTCTTCTCTTCTATGAAAGCTCTATTTGACTTCATTTTGCCCACACAGTAAGAGCTCTGAATGATGTTGTTGTTGCTGTTCCATTTATTAAAAACTTAAGGGGGACTTAATCCACTGGTCACACAAACTGGAAACAACCCTCTTGTACCGTTCAGCTGCATTACCTTCCGTCTTGGTCTGGAGGAAGCTACTTTAGGCTCCGGCCGCTTGACGCACAACATATTTGAGAATGTGAAGTTGAACCGTTTTTACTAACTTCCTTCATTTTATCTGCTGCAGCTGTCTGGCTTATTTTCCCAGACGAACCGCGAGAGATAAAAGGGAATACTGGGAATCGAGGTCCGACGAGAGAGCACTTTCCCTCAACGTGGACACGAGGAGATGAGATTACAGGGAGCAGACGGTGCATTCAGATAGACATCTGCTCTCTGGAGTCAGGCATAACTTTAGAGAGAGGACTCAAAGCAAGGAGACTGTCCAGGTATCGCACTGCTGGCTGGAAATGTTATTTGTGATATTGAATGTTATTTGTTCAACTTTGAAACGCCTGGAATTAGACCCAGATTTGTGCTTAATAGCCTCACCACTGATATTGTTTAGTCAATTTTATTTAACAAGCATAACTAGCTACCACCTTACATAAATGAGGTGGACACAATAGCATCAACAGTGTAACAAGAGTCAGCAACTTCATGTATTAACATACAATTTGGATTCATTAAATAAGCACTACACAGTACAACAAGATACACAGATCACGGCAGAGCAGGTGAGTAAATAGGAACTCATGTTGCATTTTTTAGTTTAAAGGGGCACTCCACCAAGTTTAGACAGGAAGATCAGTTTACTCCTCATGAGAACAGTTTAATAGTTTAACTAGTATAACTGGGGGGTGAGGGGAAAGGTATGTACCTGACAGGAATGGTCCAATGAAAGACACTACTGAGATGCATAGGAATGTTTTGGAGCTTGGCTCATACCGGCAAATAAAAATCAAGATTCATCAACTTCTGCTGTTTCGATTTTCTTTTTTGAATCCGTCTCTCACAGGTTGCCCAACTTTGTGCAAAACAAACCTGCACTTGAGTCGGGGCAGTGCCTCCAACCTCAGAGAGCTTTTATCTGACAGAAGCTCCAAACAGCCTCGGCTCGCAATCACCATCCTGTCAGAACTGTTGCAGTGTGAAAAACACTGAAACGCAGGCTGGAAAGCGGGGTTCATATTTATTATTGCCAAGAACACTTGACATAATATATATATATATATATATATATATATGTTTTATTTTTGAATAAAGTCTTTTTTTTCAGTTTTTCCATAAAAATGTATTATTCATTTCAAAGGTTTAACTGCAGATCCATACAGCCATCATTCTGCACAGAGAAGGTCAAACATCCAAAGTGAGGTAATATTATGAAAACACATTTATTATAATAATTGTGTCATTTGAACATGATGTAGAGCGTAGGACATGGTTTCTGGATCAGACTGTCTCTTGTCCAGATAGCGTGGCATCGGGCTGCTCATATCTCATCTGTGGCTGAGGCAGGACACTATTCATGTCCCTCGTAATGTCTCCTGTAATCTCATTGCAAGGCAGCTAATTGAAACATCGGAAGAGGGTGAGGGATGGAGAAGAAAAAGAAGTGATGTATGTTTGAGAAGAATAAACAAAGTATTGTGTGTTGTGCATCAACGTAAATGTGGAGGGAAAACAGTTGTCAACTTACTGTCACAAACATGCAGCTTTTGTCAATACAAACGTACAGAAGCATGCACAAACATAATATCATGTCTAATTGTTTCCCATATATCTCTCCATCTCCGCCATTAGTCCCTCCAAGCAGCTGAGGAGCATCTTTAGCGAAATGAATGAAGCGGCTGCTCTAATCGAATCAGCCAGGAGAACCTAATTATAGAACCAGCTTTGTTCCACTCGGGTCCACTGCAGGTAGAACCACCTGGCGCTCAACATAGCAGTGGGATGACTGCTCTGCAATCAGCAAACCACACTGATTCTTAATGAGTCAGAGCCATGAATCAGCTTCACTGATACGGAATTAGAGCTGTGAGTCAAACAGTTACTCAGATCTTCCCGAGACTAGAGTTTTTACAAGTGGTGGAGAGCCGTCAGCTTCAGTCGATCAATAGGAATCTAATCGTGCCGTTGGACCTGCATGTATGGAGAGTCAGTAGTGCAGAGAATGTGAAAACAAAAAAGAGAAAATCTAAGTGCATTAGCAACATAAAAAGAGTTTCAATGTGCAAACTTCTTTGAGCAAAAAAGCAAAAATTCTCACCTTTAAATACAACATGCTGTGCTAAATCACACGTTTGGTCCAGAGAGCCTTATTCTAACAACGTTACTCTGGTGAGGGTTGCAAACATAATAAAAAATGACTCGCTTTATTACCAACATTTCAGATGTGAGAAGTGGAAAATAAAAAGAAATGCAATTTCTTGCCTTTTGATTCCTGTCAAAATGTTGCAGAGTCTATTGCTGTGAATGTGTAGTGAGTAAAAAAAGTGTGTAAGTTGTTGTTTATTGTTACATTACAATAGTAGCCTTACAATAGTACTGCACTGTAGCTTACTGCGTTTTAGATGAAAAAACATGTAAGAGAAAAGTAAACTGATACAGTCGAACTAATCACAATCATCATCTTTGCTTAATGAATGTAGGATATATTGTGATGCAAACTACAATGATATTTTCAGTAATACAGCATAT